GAAACAGGTTAGGTAGTCCAAACAATATCCCTTGAAAGTCACATGACCTAGTTTCCCTCGTCTAGGTCCTACCTCACAAGGCATGGGTAATGAACAAGTCTTCAATGCACAGCCTTGGTTAGGCAGCCATGTAAGATCAGATACCACCACTAACTGCAAGAAAACCATGACTAAGAACTGTTGCAGTACTCTGTGTTGCTGCATGGGTATTAGAGTCAGGGATGGAAGGGGTCAATCAGAACTCTGTAATCTCATAACAAACTCGTAGACCGACACTCGCTGCCAGTCAGTTTGGTTTTTCCTCGAACCCCTGAACAGGCAGACTCTTATCTCTCAATAGTTTTGCTGCATTGCTAAGGCAATTCACAATTCATTAATAGACAACTTAATAGCAAAGGTGATCTAAATGCTGGACAAAGGTATGAATCCAAATACCAGACATGGAAACAAGATGACAAGGAGGTTTCCTTCGGCGTGGGGATTTTTTTACTACCAGCAGTAAAGCAATGCCAAAAGCATACTATCACAGAATGAGTCTGTGTCCAGCCTTATTGCAAACCCATACCTTCCTCCCCTCTCTCCAGAGTTGACACTACCTACTAGGGAAGGAAGATTTTCATGGTATGCAGTACTTTGTAGAATGTATGCAGAAACTCTACCTAAACATTCAATTTTTGGAAAATAAGTTCTGTTCAGCCTCAGCAGATGTCAGCCCTAATTAATAAAATACCTTCTAACCTGAGCCACCAAGACAGTCTACCTATGGGACTCCCAACAGCTACAGCTCATAAGAGAGTACTGATAGGCTGGGCAGAAAGTGACAGCAAAGGCCAGTGAGTGCTCAGAGAATCTGTCATAGCATTAAATACTACTGGTAGTGGAGAAAGCAGCTACTCAGCAAAATGTAGTGAATGGACTATCAAACACCTTTTTAAAATATGTTAATTGTTATGATTTTATATGCTTTATACTATGCCTGAATTTTAATATGCCATGATCTGGGGAAGGGGGACTACAAGTAGACAGTATAATAGCTTCTTATACCAAGGTAGTCTTTATTACTGGACTTTAGCTGCTGATCCTAACATAACAAACTATAGCTTAAACACACACACACGTGCATGTATGCATGCACATGCACGATGCACACATATAGGCACACAGGAACACACATGCACATGAAATGAAGGTGTGATTATGGTTTGCAGTGGTTTTAGTTTCTGGGGTTTTTTTGTTTGTTTTGTTTTGTGTGGGGCTTTTTTGGCTTTTTTGTTTGTTTTTTGGGGTTTTGTTTTGTTTTTTGTTTGTTCGCTTGTTTTTCTTTGTTTTTTGGTTTTTTTGTTTTTTGTTTTGTTTTGTTTTGGGGGGGTTGGCTTTTTGTTTGTTTTGGGGGGTTTTTTGGTTTTTTGTTTGTTTGTTTGTTTGTTTTTCTTTGTTTTTTGTTTTGTTTTGTTTTGTGTGTGTGTTTTGATTTGTACAATACTAGAGATTAAACACAGGGCTTTATCCACGATGGACAAGTTTTCTGCCCTTGAGTCACATCCTCATTCCAAGGTGTGGCATTTTAAAACAGTTTCTACTGTTTTAAAACAGTCTTATGTATGTCTGAAGTCTCAGGGATTTAGGTAGGCTCTAGTCTTTCTTTTGTGGAGTATTTATACTACGTGTAAGAAATAATCATGTCCTCATTGTAACAGGAGGTGTAGGATCACACTTCATCAAGTTGTTGTTTCTTCTCAACTCTACTCTTAGGGACAACTCAAACTAACCAGTGTTTTGAAATATTGATGAGAAGAAGATACAGTTGAGATGCTGTACCAGGGCAAAGGGTGCTCTTAGACTTTGCAACCACAGCTATATCAGGAAATGCTTCCAAAAGTAACAGAAAGCTGTGCCAATGGTTTTCACAGGGCATGATTTCCTCCGTCGTCACAGGTATAAAATGATCTTACTAACACTCCTGTAGAGGGTGAAATGAGGTTATCTATCTTGCCAGATATGGACAAATGAAAAAATGCAACTATGGGGTAATAAAAGCTAGACATTTAATCATTGTACACTCTACTTTCTGTATTGCGAGCATTCTGTAGTATGAGTAATATATCACCAAATGCTATCTATTAATGTAAGCTTAAAATGTTAAGTAAATGCATCCATAGATACAAATGTAACAGAGGAAACTCTCTTTGTGTATTCCTTATTATCCCATAAGTCACCAGCTGTGCCTAATGCCATTTCTTTCTGTCACTGCTTCTGAACCTCCTCGTTCCCTTGGACCTATTGAATCTACCCTGTGCAGAATTTACTCCAATACTTTCTATGTTGGGTAGGAAAGTGCGCCAAATTGTCATTCTAGCCTAGTCTCAAAAGAAAGCTTAAAGTCCACCTAAATACCCTGGGACGTCCCTGCACTCTCCCGGCTCTCCTCCATTACGTGAGCCATCGAGGGCTGTGTGCTTATTTGAGATACTTTCCTCCGGTTCAGTTTTACTCTACCAGTTTCTCTAATTATATAATGAGTTTCAAAATGTATGACACTACCATCTGCCCAAATTTTATTATATTTGATCTTTTAAGGTAAGTCACTTGCAATAACAAAACTTTATGAGAGAGAAATACCAAATACATCATACAGGTGGGCCCAGGCTAAAATTGATAAGGAACTAATTCTTTATTGACATTTATAAATGAATATTCAAAGCACACAACTTATGTTTATATTACAATTTATGCATTGAGTTCTAAAACTGCATGACTCTCAATAGCAATAAAACACTTGCAGCAATCAGATCTTGTTTCCTAAGTGTCACTCTCCAGTGGTGGTGTGGGTACCCTCCCCCTCTGGTAGTAATGAGCCAGCCCAGAAGGCATGAGAGCTGACCCTGCCTCCTGCTGATGGCAGTACTGGGTTGCCAAGCCAGAGCAGTGCTGAGGAGCCTCTCCAGGTGGTGCAGATAAGGGAGAATTAATTGATGGGCTGACAGACTCAGCTTCCACCAAGGCCCAGATCCAGTCCTCTGTGTTGTCCCACCCTAACTCATCCATCTGTGAATGCTTGAGGCATGTAAAAGGAACAGTCCTGCTTCCCAACGCTGCAGGATCTCCATGACACAGGGAAACAACGGGATGACTGGGAAGTGTCCTGATGAGGATTCAATGTAGATGGTGTCACAGAAGCGAGAGATCTTGAACCAGACCAGTGACTAGATTGCAATGAACATTGGCAACTGCAGATACGTGGGCAAGGTGGTACACTGTGGGACACACGGTGACATACTACAGCTTCCACAATGAGATGTTTTCTATGCTTTATTTTGTTGGTGGTGTTTGCTCTTTTGTTTGTGTAGGATTTGGGGGGGAGGTTGAAAGAGTGAGGAGCAGATATGAGGGGGACAGGAGATGGGTGGGACTGGGGTACCTGTTGTAAAACTCTCAAAGAACCAATAAAAAGTTAAAAATGATAATAACAATTTATAAAAGCTTTTTGCACTTACAGGAACAATTAGAACAACAGCAAAAAAAAGAGAATTAGGCCCGTTCGCTGTAGCTAGGAATCCCAAATAACATACAGGATAGATGGTCATTTGATTTGAACTCAGGCAGCACTTTTTAGTATAAGATCGCCTCATTACAATATCTAGTACAATAATTTCTACAAATCAATCATACATATATGATAACGGGTTAACTACATAGAACTACATACAATTCTCAACATGGTAGGATCTTCTCTCAACAACTCTCAACTTCTTATATATAATACTAAAATGAAGCTTCTCTGAGAAATTAATGGTAGAGCTGTGTCCCAAGCAAATCCTCCTTATAGTCACACAGTAAGGTTACAGGAAAGGACTGGGGGGGGGCACACTCCCACGCTTCAGAAGTGTGGAAGTCACATTACTTTGCTTGAGCGTCATTACCACTAGCACTGCTCAGCAGCTCAGAGCTGGACCTGAAGCACAGGGACTACTGAAGCCGCTCAGGGGCCTTGCTGGGTTTGCTTTCATGAAAACTTGGAACTCCATGTTTTTTCAAATGACATGTGTTCTTACCAAGATAACAGAAACCAAGTTCCCTTTACATTTCCCTCTCAGTTTTAAAATCTTCAGGCATCCATGTCAAAAGATCATTAAGTTTAGGTTAAATCTGAAAATTATTCCATTTCAAAGATCACAGTATACTTTTACAATGCTAAATGCCAGCCAGCCTCTGGAAGTATGGGTTCTGGTTGCAATTTTGTAAGTGAAAAAGCAACAAGCAACTTGCAATTGAATGCCTCTTCCATAATGGGAATGTTGAAACTGTCCCCACCCCAGGGGCACTGACAGAGGTGACACCTGTGGAGAGCAGTGAGCTCATCTCACATTGCCAGAGCCCTAAGGACTCCCCACCTCAAGAAGGAGGAAATGTGAATTTCTAATTTTGAAGGAACCCAAGGATTCTGTTATAGAAAACAAAGGCACCTTGGCCAAAAGGCAAGAATTGGCTTGGTTTCCAGCTTAGGAGTTCCTAAAATGAAGGCGTTTCCCTTTGAGGATCAGTGCCTTGCTGTTAAATTCTAAACTATTGCCATTGGAAACAAACCATGAAACCCTCGTGAACAATGTCCATTCTTGAAATGCTGTGTGAATCTGCTGATTTAAAACTTCCCACAACATCTCTAAGAGGCTGAAGAGATTTTTAATGATAAATTCGTCTAACTCCAAAACAATCTTATTTTTTAAAAGAAGAAAAAAGTGGGAAGTGTTTTTTTTTTTTAAGAATAAGTTAATTTAACTTAAGAATAAGTTAAATTACTTCATTCATTTGCTTGCTGGGTACTCTTAAATCAAGAGTCTGCTTATAGCTTTCTCTCTTCCAAAATATTCACCCTCCCTGGGAGAAAGTGCATAAAACCGCACTGCGAACACCGCCTGCTGTCTTCCTCGGTGTGTGGGCCTGAAGAAGGCTAGTCCTTCTGTTTACTGCCTGATAAATGGGAGGGAGAAGGCTGTACTTACCGAACTGGGGCTGGAGTGCCGCCTAACTTTAGGTGACTCTTTGCCAGCAGAGGAGGATTTAAAGTTAATGCAAGCATTGTTCTCAGAATGTACCCTTTTGACTTGATTGGCTGGTTTCTCAAATGGGTCAAAGGTGCTCTGTGTCCTCTGAACTCTGACTTTTTTATCTTCAGGAATTGTGTCCAGGTGCTTGATCACTGAATCCATTCCCTGGCAGTTCCGTGTAGACATCTTTGTGACACATATCTGGAAAATAAAAAAAATGAACTGAGGACTCTTCACTGAAACATCACTATCACTAAACAGGCTATTTTTTTTTATTCCAGTGTTCACTTCAATTTTAAGAAATACCAAAAAAGCCTACTATATTATTCTGCATAAACTCAAAGAAAAGGTACTTATCTAAAACCAAAGGAAAACATGGCACAGGCCACATATCCTATAAGGTTCTTGACTCTGTCTCAGATTCTATCATCTGACAGCAAGTGGATATTTCTAAATCATCAAAAGAGTGGATAACCTGAATTCATAAACAACAACAACAAACAACAAAAAAGCCATCCATAGTTGGCCTGGATCAGAGAGGCAAATACTGAGGGCCACAGGAGTTGGTTGACAGAAGCTAACTGAGGAAAGGTGTTACTCTGTTTCAAAGGTTTATGTCTGAAGACAAGTTGAAATAGTAGTTAGGTAATAAATACTTGAGGATGATGGTGGGTTTTTCTTTTGAACTCCAAAGCTAACAAATTATACCATCAGTGGAAGACTCCCCGTGTCATTCAGTTGAAGGTTATAGCACTGGACCCCTGTTTCCCTCCCAACACCAGGATCCCTCTCTCAGTACTCAGCCTGCTCCTTCACACAGTTTACTTTAGTCCTTTGGGGTTTTGTCCCCATTTACCACCTTGTATTCTAACACTTTCATGTTCCCTATCCTCTAGAAATTCTGAGTTTGCTTGCAAACTCTAGCTTTTCTGTGAGGGAGGTATCACACTTTTGATCTTAGGAGTTCCCAAGGCTATGTGTGAAAGCCTTCATGGTCTTCACCTCAACTTTATTGTGAGATGGCAGAAGCATTAGTAGGCGGGGCCTAGCAGAAGGAAGTTGGGCCATTGGCTTTGTGCATTTCCTTAACTTTAAGATTCTAGAACATCCTCTCCACCTCCTTCTTTCACTCCATCTCTCTCTCCCGCTCCCTCTGCTTCTCTCTCTAGCTTGCCCTTGCTCTCACTAGGAATCACAGTAGCCATAACATGAGCAGCTTTGCACTACTCTGCACTTGACTGGGGTGTTCTGCTTAGCCTCAGGCTCCCAAACAACAGCCAAGCAGAAGTGTGGAGAGTTGTGGTGGACACAGAGGAATCTCTCCAGGTTTCAAGGAACCTCAGCCATTATGTCATAGCCATAGAAAACCCACACACTAAGTTCACAATTCTCTCTAAAGAAACTATCATTTGAATGAAATTGGTTTCACAGTTTTTTCTTAAGTAAACAAGTTTCTGCATCGCTCTATGCTATCAAGTGAGGAAAATGGAAAAACATTTAATAAAGGTTAAATGGTTAAAGTTTAAAGATCAACTTTTGGAAGAGCATACAGGTTGACTCCATCTGAAGAGCAAATGCACCACAGACATGCTTGGTACCCACAGAATCTGGAAGATGGCATTGGAACCCCTGGAACTGGAGCTACAAACACTTGTAAGCTGCCAAGGGATGCTGAGAATACAACACAGGCCCTCTGCAAGAGCAGCAAGTTCTCTTACCTGTTGAGTCTTCTCTCCAGCATCTAAGATTCAACAATTCATTACCTAAGTTCTTGAAAGTAAGGACCATACCAAGTTATTGCATCCTTCTCCCATAATGCCTTGCTCAGTCTTCTTATAATAACTCATATACAAAAAGATTCATCCAAATAATTAATCAACTTATGTTTGATACAAAAGAGCAGAGGCTCTGAGACATTCATCAAAAGCTTCTATTTAAAAGTCACAATCCTGACACTAAGATAATAATATGTATGTTCATGAATAGCTGTCACCAAGATTTTTTAGCTGAAGCTCATTGCAATAGGTGGATTCTAAAACAACACCTAGTATCTCCTGCCTTTGAATGACTCCCTCTCTATTTTGTGCAATTATGAAGTGATACCATAGAAATATATTGTTCTATGTGTAAACATTAGATTACCTGATGGGATAAACAAAACTAAGAGATCTCTGCAAAACCAGGAAAAACAAAGCAGTAAGATGTGAGTTGACTAGTTTGAGAGATACCAGTGATGATCCTGAGGACTGTGAGGGCATAAGGCATAACATGGCCTCTACCTGACAACCACCAGAAACCTGGGGGCCACACAACTGCACACACAGTAAAAGTAGCTCTGTGGACATGTTAGAGGACCTGGAACTCCAGGTGAGAACCACCAACCTGATTTCAGCCTGGAAAGATCTCAGCAAAGAAACCCTGTGACACATCCTGACTTTCAGCCTATTGAAACTGAAATAAGAAGCCTGTGCCTTTGTGGTACTACATTACCTAAGCATAGAAACCTAATATGCACATTTCACTGAAACAGTCTGAAGTGCTCTGATATCGGAACAGAAAAAACAAAAAACAGAAAATCTACCACGACAATCATCACCAGCATCAATAACAACAAAACCAATAACAACAGCAACAAAAACAAGCCACTGTGGCATATATCACTAACAAATCCAGGACAAAATAAGCAATGGTTGTCATGATTGCTGTGTATAACTACGTACTGAGTACCATCCACCACAACTTCATAACATCATGAGTACTCTAAAACTCATGAACAAGTTTCTCCACATAATGAAACTTCTGCACAATTTTTACTGATCTACAGTACAACCAGGCTGCCATGAATCATACCAGTATCAACACCATCTTTGTACATGAATCTTCATCAAGGAAGGAAATCTAAACTGAGTTTTCCACATAAGACAACATAAACTCTTCTAATAGGGTGTTATGTATCCGGTATTAGGGTCAAAGGACTTAAATGTGATCTCCCCATCTCTTGTTAACGGTGAGATCAACAGAAAGTGGAGCTCAGGTCTTCCTGAAACACCTGGAGTCAGCTCTGGGGCCTCGGTACACCAACCTGACAGTTCTCCTGGAGACCCTGAATTTTAAAAAGCTCTTGTTCAGAAAAAAGATCCAGCAAGGTGAAATAAAAACAGTATCCACTCCTTGATGGAAGCTGTAATTTCTTAGCCACCCTTAGCATAAAATCATTGAGTGAATAATGTAGACCCAGCAGTCAGAGAGGGCCCCAGAAGACAAATTACATGCAGGTGCTACTCTCCTGCAACCACAGCCTTCAGTGAATCTCTCTATAACCTGTTAGCAAGCACCCAACAAAGGAGATTTCTCTAGTCAATAAATAGTAACCCTTTCATCCATCTCCAACTTCCATATCCATCCCCACTGGATGCCTGGATTCTGGCTGATGTTAGACCTCCCACTGGAAAAAAAATAGATTCCAGCCCACAGGATATAAGTGTCGAGGGCAGGTTGGAGAAAAGAATCAAAGAAAAATAAATGGAGGCTAGGAAATCTCTCGCTATTAACTAGAAGCTAGGATCCTTTTTTAAATATGATGAAAAATGTTAGCAAGAGAATTGATCTAACAGAGTTCCCACTGACAAAACTGTGGTTGCTTATTCAACCATCAAAATGAAACATAATATTGTGTTTAAATCGAATGAGTTAAAAAATGAGTTAAATATGATTCCCAGTGATAAAAGCTACTAAAAGAGGAATAGCAAGTACAATAGAAAAAAAAATAAATGAAATACAATATACCTGGTCTTAACAAAGAGAATGTTGAATAGCCCAATAGGCTAGACCAAGTAGGAAGCTCACTGAAGACATGGATGGCTCAGGGCTGGGGTTGTGGTGGGGGACTGCTGAGTAGTACCAGTATAAAAACTAGAGTAACATGGTCAGCTCCAGGGATAACAACCCAGGGCAATATAACAGTGCCGTATGCTGAAGGATAGGTAATGTTCCCCAAATAAAATACTACAAAATGCACATCTGGTGGACAGACAACAGACTGCAAAACGAAATGCCCATTGGCAGAAGGAAGTTTTTAAAATAATTTAACTTTTAACAGCATATGTGAAGTAACCCCTAAAAGAGGAAAGTCAGTTTGACTGCCATCCCATGACTCAAGTCTGAGTCACTAATTTAGACAAGGCAACCAAGACACGAAAGGATCAACAACTGAGATTCTCTAACCCATGTTATTGTGCAACTATAAAGATAACATAACACCAAGAACACGTAAAAAAGAATTATTATTAAATTTCCTGGGGAGGCAAGGTAAGTTAGTAGATCTATAATGCTTAGGAAAGCTTTAAAAAAATAAAATTAATCCAACTTATAATGTTGATGTCTGAGAACAGGTCCCACATAGATGCAGAAATATAACTTGAAGCCATCATGTTTATTTAGAAATATGTTAGAATCATGGAAATTAGTCTGTGAAAGTAGGGCAATTTGACTAAGTCAGTAATCAGAGATTAAATACTGAGAAAAAATTAAATTTAAATATTTAAAGGTTTATATGTAAGTCTGTGTGAATGTGGAAGAGACAAAGACAAAGCATATGTACAAGAGAACGAGTCTATGTGTATGGGTACAAGCAGAGGCCAAAGGAGGGCATCAGATAACTCAGAGTTAGTTACAGGCAGTTCTGTGCCTCCTGATATGAGCCTCCAAATGCTGGTCCTATGCAAGAGCAATGCAGTCTTAACCACTGGGCCATTTCTCCATCCCCCATAGTAATTTTAACTGATTTTATTAGCTACACATATTTTTAAGGATATGAACATTGGGTCATACACAAAGAGTACAGGCTAAAACTGCTCCAAGCACAGGAGACTTAGAGCATTCCCATAGACCATCAGCTTCCACCATCTGTTGCACAGTCTTTCTTGGTCATCTTAGGATGAAAAACCTTCTTCTCAAGCTAAGCCACAACTGTGCTAAAAAAAAAAAAAAAAAAAAAAAAAAAATTACCACTCTCCAGAGGCCTTCTGCTGATTCAGTCCCAGACACTTAGAACAAGCATTGTTATGAAGCCCTTCAGTGAGTGCTATATTTTGTATACTTACACTGCAAAGATTCCTTTTAATTAACAATCTCAACAACCTACCTTTCCCATAGGGTGATGGCTTGGTCTTACATTGGTTTTACAGCCTTCAAAATCAGTT